TTAATATCGACGGGAAGGACTTACGGATTATCAAAAACATGTACTGGGATCAAACAGCTGCAATGAGAATAGAAAACGACATCAGCGAATACATACAGATTAAAAGAGGAGTCAGACAAGGATGTGTACTTTCTCCAGACTTGTTCTCCCTGTATAGTGAAAATATCATGAGACACATAGAAGAAATGCCTGGTATCTCGATAGGGGGACATAATATAAACAATCTAAGATATGCAGATGACACAGTCCTAATAGCAGAAGATGAAAAACACCTGCAGAATCTATTAAATGTCATCGTACAAGAGAATGACAACATGGGCTTAAACCTAAACATCAAGAAAACCGAAACGATGGTGATAAGCAGAAATACTCCAATCCCAACATGCAATATCAAAATCAATGATACCACCCTCAAGCAAGTACAACATTTTAGATATTTGGGGACCATTATATCATCCGATGGTAGATGTCACACCGAAATTAAAAGCCGCATTTGCCAAGCAAAAGCAACCTTCCACAAGATGAAACAGATACTAACAAACATCAATCTGTCACTGGAAATGAGGAAAAGAGTAATGAAAAGCTACATCGAGCCAATCCTATTATACGGGTGCGAAGCATGGACAATCAATAAACAGCTGGAAAAAACAATTGTTGCGGCAGAGTTGTGGTTCATGAGACGCATGCTACGTATCCCATGGACAGCTAGAAAAACAAATGAAGAAGTCCTGGTTGAAGCAAATTATAGAAAACAACTTATCACGAATATAAGAAAACGACAGGCAATTTTTTTCGGACACACAATGCGGAAAGAAGCATTGGAGAACATTGTAACAACAGGAAAGTTTGATGGAAAGAGAGGTAGAGGCAGACAGAGGGAAAAGATACTGGACAAGATGACAACATGGCTGGGAGCAGCAAGAACAACAGACACCATTGCTGCTTCGAAAGACAGATGGAAGTGAAGGTCCATGATCGCCCACGCCAGTCGGCAAGGCACCGGATGATGATGATCACCGTGACGTCTGCACCAGTATCCACTCTATACTTAACTGGCTTTCCTATTGTAGTTATTTCTGCGTGCCACAAGTCATCGTTGCTTTGCACGGCCCTGACACCATACTCGTTTTCCAGCTGTAGTGTTCCCAGGAAAATTTCTTCAACTTGTTTTACCGACTTCTTGTCTTTGTTTCTACAAGCTGTGGAGAAGTGTCCTTTCTTTTTGCATGTGTAGCATGTTTGGCAGGACATTCTTGTTTATCGTGTGGACCCCTTCCACATCTGTGACATTTTTTTTACCTATGATTTCTTTTCTTTGGAATTTTTGCTTGGGGCCCTGGCCTTGACCTTGACTTTTGACCTTGCCTGTAAAACTTTCCTTTCTGTAACCTGTTTACTTCTGAAACTTCGTTTCCAGTACTTTGGCTCATTGTATGCGACTGTGTCCTAGATGACTCATATGCTCGTCCTATCTAGACACCTTGTTAGGGTGAGATTTTTGTCTTCCAAAAACTTTTCTCTTAAGCTTTCTTCTCTCACTCCTATCACCACCTGATCTCTTATTAAGCGGTCTTGCAACCGTGTGTCTCCGAAGTTGCAGGACTTGGCTAGCTGACGAAGTTGTGCAATGTAGGCCTCTATTGTTTCGTCTTGTTTTTGTTTCCTCATGTGAAACTTGTAAGACTCGTAGGCTTCATGTGTCTTTCCAATGCAAAAGTCGTCAAAAGCTTGTGTGACGCTTTGGAGATTTTCTTATCTGCCTCGTCCTCGAAGTGGAAACCTTCGAAATTGTCGACAGCATCTTCCCCAATCGTCGCTAGAAACACTGCACATTGGAAATCTTCTTCTCCCTTGTTTAATCTGGTGGCGATAGCATAATTTTCGAAGTTTCACTTAAACTTTTTCCGCCCTTGTGCTAGGTTTGTGCCATCTGTTACGTTTAATTTTGATAGAAGGGGTACGTTGGCTGTGTATTGCTTCTGCTGGTTTTCCCTGTTATGTTGTGCCATTTCTGTTCACTTGTTGTGGAACTAGAAATCCAGAATAGATCTACTCAAATAAAAGACTCTAAGTCTAGAAATCTAGAATCTCCAGACCCAAACAAACAAACAAGTCTCAGTTCCAACTTCTGACACCATGTAAAGTTACCTGGCGGTCCGATGAGTCGGGTCTGTCAGGGGGCCCCCGTCCAAGATAAGTGTTGCCTCGTCGTGGTCCTGAGTCCGACTGAATATCTCAGTGAGTCTCTCAGAAAAGTTGGGACGATGAGGAGAAGAAAAAAAAAAGAAAAAGCTGGGACTGGGATTCGAACCCACGCTCACAAAATTTTAATGTTTGTCTTCTAACGCAGACGCGCTGTTCACTTGGTCATCAGAACTTTCATCAGCGAAGAATAAATTAAGCTTCATATTTACAGCGCTGTTTCAGGAAAGGCAAAGCGACAATAATTATATATCGAGATGTAGATCTAGAATCTAGGCCTAGATCTAGTGGACCGGCAGATAAGGTCTGGAGAAAACTAAAAATTGGCGGAAAATTGGAAGCACTAAACATTAGAGAACGTAGATCTAGAACTAGATCTAGACACGTCCATAGCTATAGGTCTAACCCAAGACGGAATAACTTGGCCTATTTTTAGCTCTCCCAAGAACGAAATAAATCTTGATCTAGATCTAGGTGAAGTGCTTTAATTTCATTTTTTCGCTGTTTTTCAGCACGAATCTGCTATTGTACAACATATTATAATGAGATACAACTTTATTGATCATGTAAAGTACAATGAAGAAGCAAAAATGTACTTAAAGATGCAAATTTTCTTCCAAAATGAGTCGAATCGAGGCTTTCTTAGTCCCCTGTACGTCTGGCGAAAAAGTGTGCATGCAGGAAAATCGCGTAGTCAGGCAAAGGCTGTCAGTGACTGACAAAAGCAAGCTCATTTGCATGTGAGCTCGGCCTGCAAGTGACGAAAAAGAGCAGTGGACGCGGGGCCTAAGCGTACTAGAAAATTTTTACTGAATTTTTTCCTGAGGTAGTTTTCACGTTTGCAAAAAATCTGTGAAAATCCACACTCCAAACACCAACGAAATAGGCTACTATTCTTTGTATTCTATCGACAATTCACCACACAAAGTTTACGTTTTACATCTTTTCTTCATTCAGTGAATATTAAGAAAAACCACGTTTCGAGAAATCGGTCGCTAAGAAAAATAAACGATTGACGTTATGAGAAAATGGTGGTGACAAACATGCCCGGTATGGGAAGAAATACGGCTTCAAGGGGTTCTTATGCGATGAAATAGTTGTAGCAGAGGTTGGAAAAGCTATAAATGCCTACAACTTGAAATCCATAGTTTTGAGCCGAATATAGGGACTTTCAGCTGCACTACTACAGTTTTGCCCTTGCGGTAGACATTGAGGAAGTGGAAATAGATTGCCCAAGTATTAGTTCATATTCTGACTTCCTTGATTTGCTTCAATGGAGAGTCATTGTCAATGCGTTTAGATTCAAGGAATACAGTCTTTCGAGTGCCATTTTACAGGCGTGATAGGGACATATTCATTGGAGGGGATTTTACATTTTCGTCCAGGTAGCGTTCCCAACGACCTACTATTTGACGGTTTTCTACCAAGGGATCATACATGTAGCGTTGTAGCGTACACACCTGACCTCTGAGGTTTTTCTGCAGGTGATTGGAGGGTGCCACTAGTAGATTACTTCTTTACTTTCCCTCTGTTGTGTTTGTCTGTCAATCTTACTTGTCCCAGCACTGAATGGGCATTATTGTGTCGATATGCTTCTCTTTACTGAAACAAGCAAACACATTTCTTTTTAAAATTAAAAACGAATTTTTCGTTGCTCATCCGAAAAGCTTAGGTGTTCGGGTGTGGAAGAGGAGGGAGATTTTCGTTGTTATTTTATTTAACTGAGAAAGAGAGAAGATAAAACGAAAAAGCAGATAAGGGGGGGGGGGGGGGGGTAGAGAGAGGAGTAGGGGGAGAAAAAGGGGAAAAGTAGCAACAAAAGAAGTAATTCAGTAGATTATAATAGTACTGAAGAACACGGATTTCTATTGGTCAAACGTACGACAAGGTCGTATTGGGCTGGCTAGTGCACACTATCAAATCTTAATGACCTCTGCTTATCTTCATCAAAATGAGAGTCCACTGAGGCCTAACGTATTCCGCTGATGTCTGACTTACTTGCCTCATGGTTGTTTGTTGCCATCAAGCCAGTGCAGATTAGTTAAAGTATATATCCTGCACTGCATCAAGCTTACTATGGAATCATGGCTTAGAAAATCCAACATGCTCAATTAATAGGGAAGATTCAGTTCGCAAAACAATCCAGCACGATATAAACTGAATTAACGGTGAGTATAATCAGTCTGAATTTACTAATGTACATCTACATACTTATAGTTACACCAGAGATGGCGTCAATGGTAAATGAGTGCAGCTTGGTTACACTAAAAGAATTGTGGAAGGGGAAGTCAAGCAGAAGATGGGGAGCAATGGAAGGAGAGTGACAGAGCAATAGGTAAAAAAGGGGAGGGGGCGTTAAAGATGGGAAAGGGGTACAGGAGGAACAAGGAGTAGTAAAGTTTAGACCCTTCATCTTAAAAATATTGCTGCTCTTCGGTATTAAGAAGCAGTGCTCATGAGAATAATGTTTTGGGCAGACAGACATTGCAACGTCAGGATAAATAAACGTCCTATCAGTAATATTGATTGTCAAACTGTCAGTCATACCAAAAGTATGGGCAGGAAAAGTTAATGACACTCCAAGTACGTTGAATAACAATTAATCTTTAACACGTTGGCCACGCCGTTATTGTAACAAGTTAATGCAAAAGTGATGTTTGTCCCAGATGTCACATGCGCACAATCAGATATTTGTAAAGCAGAGGCGATATCCGATTTTGCTGTAGGTGGCAAGTCCCATCAACAGAGATAATGGCACTCAATCCACAGTTCCTATAAATATCGTGGTCGCTCTTGGAGAAATTCATCATCCAGTCTTCCGCTCAGAGAGGCCCATCTAGGAGCAGAAGCAATACTCTACAACGGTTCAAGCGTCAGTTTTTTTCGTCTACTACTACTAGATCTACTACTGCAGTGAAAATGAAGATTTTGGTCGCCTTCTCCTGTCTTCTGGCTGCAGCGTGCGCCTACTATTCCGTAAGCTGTTGTGTTTAGTACTCGTGATGTAGCACCAGTCTCTACCGATGAGTTAGGATCTCTCTCTCTCTCTCTCTCTCTCTCTCTCTCTCTCTCTCTCTCTCTCTCT